TTCGAGCTCATCCCAGCGGTTTCGCGCGAATGGATTGGGCACGACTCGGGCCACGTACACCGATCCTGTTTAGGCCCGTCTTGGGCCCGCCATCGCCAAAACTCCCCGCACCCCCGTCGACGTGGCTACCGACGCCGTCGTCGCCACGCTGGTCCCAATACTTGACGACGTCACCTCTGCCGCATCCATACAATGGTCATTTCATCGCCGTCTTCTCCGCTAGGGCATATCCGACGATGCCTTCATCATGATAGAGATCGTGTAGTGGTCGACCTTCACACCACTCTTCTCCATAAGATCGATGATCTCCCAGGCCTTTCAACGCTCGCACAGGTCACGGCGGGGGAGGGAGCAGACAGGCAGACAAAGACAAGCGAGACGGGACGCAGGAAGAGCAGCAAAAAACAAAGGACGCTCTCACCAGGTAGATACAAGGCTGAGGAAAAACGATCAGGTGCAGATACGTGGCACGCACCAGGGAAGGGCGGTCCAAGCATGAAACCCTCTCCCTCCTTCCCTCCCTGCTTCACTCCGTCGCCCCTCCTCCTACTTTCTCCTGCCATGATTGTCAGCGCGCGGCATCCCCTAGTTTGAAGGGGGCTGGGAGGCCCCGCCAACAGCTTCGCCTCAGGCGAAGCCAAGCTCCAGCTCGGTTGTATCGTAGTAACGATAGTCCCAATGCAAGCGGGGAAGCCATGTCAAGTAAAAGGGGATTTTAGTCTCGATAGCGATAGTGTGCATCGCGGTGAGGCACAGTCAAATCTAGGCGGCTGGCCGCTTTGAGCCAAGACGGCCGCGGGCGCACGCTCGCTTCCGCTCCTTACGTCCCCCAGCTCGCTTTAGAGTCCCCTCCCAGTGAGATGCAGCACTGACTGGCAGGCAGCACTGACCCCCATGCCTCTTCGGCGCTGCAGGAGATCCTAAGACCACGAGCCATCCATCCACGGGCGCTCTCCCCAGTGAAGAAGAGATGAAAGGGGCCCCAGGACACACAGATAAATACACACGAATACAATGATTCCCCATAGTTTCCCATGTCTTTGAGTTTTTGGCTTCCCCCACTTCCCATATTTTCCCATATTTCCCTGGGAGTGGACGATAAATTGTGTCTGTGTGTTTCTCCCCCTCCTGAAGAGAAGAAGAGTAGCATCTGGCAATGGATCCGACCCAGAGGGCCCCCTGAGACCATGCAGGATGCACCGCCGAAGGTCAACACGGACAAGGCCGACTCTGGACAACGTAAGTAGCACATTCGCAGTTGGCAGGGCTCCTCGTCGAAATTGCCGCTGCGGCTTGTGACGGCCGCGTTGATGAGGCAGTTGAAAGAGACGTCGTTCGGCTGCAACCCCGCCTGGCCGCTGGCCGACGAAAGCAATTGGTGAGCCGAGTCGGCCCGCGCAGAGAGGCTGATCTGCTGGCCTGCTTGCTCGTCTCACGTGACACATGCTTTGATTTGATTCACAGACGGCCAGCGTACTCTTGAATGCCTATCAAGCATGCGGGCAGCGAGCATAGTCCTGTTCAGGATCACCACCGCAAGAGGAGAACAAGCGCACGAAAGCGCGCACGCACGCGCCAATCGAAGGGCACAGAAGGCAGCCACGCCCGTGAGAGCAGCCAATCGTGCACGACGAGGATTCGCATCCACCCTACTCCCGCGAGGACTTCGGCCCCCGAAAACAAGGCTGAATCGCGGATCCGAACCTCCGTGAACCCATACAGTCTGAAGGATGGACTTCTTCCCTCCCAGCGTTTCCCCTCGACTGGGGCCTCTGGGGTCCGTCTTCGGGCCAGGGGGGTAATAAAAATGGGTCAGGGGGGGAACTGTCCCTGGGCAACGGGTCGAGACCCTTGGGGCCCTGGATTGGAAACGCACACGACCTCGAAGATCTGGGAAGAGGCGAGAACTGCCAGGCTTGCCCAACGAGGACTCGCGTCCACTCTACTCCTCTCGCCAGGGCCTCGGCCCGTGAGAGCGGGGCCGGGCAGAAAAAACTCCGGCCCCGACGAGAGGCAAAAGTATGATGCTCCACGCCCCGCTCTGGACTACCCCCCACCGGGGCGTCTCGCTCGTTCCAGAAACCCCGAACTCACAAGACGTCTTGGGGCCACATCCTTTCCTTCCGCTGGCCTCCGCCAGCCTTCCGCCGGCAACCGCCGAAGATGTCACCTTCTCGATATCCCTCGAAGGCGAGGCCTTGTCTGGAACGGCGTACTGCTGGGCTCAAGACGGCCACGGCAGTGGAGCCCCGGCGCTGTTTTGTGCAAGTGGGCCCTGGACTACACCGAGAGCACCACCACCGCCACCGTACTCCAGATCTCGTAATAAAAGGGAGGGGGTCTGGACCCTCCAAGACAAGCCATTTCAGACCTCCCCCGTGGGAGAACCCTCCAAAGCATCGTCCCCAGACCCCCCCAGGCCCTCCAAGATAGCCTGGAAGAGACCCCCCCCGAAATGAGACCCCCCTCCCTTTATCACGAAATCTGGAGTACCTGGCCAGGGCCATCTTGCGCCCTGGCATGCCGTACTACGCAAAAACGCATCCTCCAAAACTACCCCAGATGAGAACACGGTCTTGGTAAGGGGCCCAGACCCCCAGGGAGCCACGCTGCGAAAAGAACACAACGTCGGGTGTGTGGACCGCTTGGGGCCAGGAGATCTGCACACCGCCCTGGAGACGCTTGTGGACCTCTGGAGGCCTCCGAGGACGCCTGGAGACCCCCAAAGACCTCCGAGCAAACAAGGGCCCCAGATTCACAGGAATCCTTCAGGCCGCGCGCCCGCCGTCTCTGGCGGCACGCTGCGACCGAACGGGCGCAGACGGACCTTCGTCCATGAGGGGGCCCTGATTATCATTCTACCCTATCGATTAGCTACTTCTTCTCGGGTTTTTTGGGAAATTTCAAGGGTGACCTTCGAATTTCCCAATAATCTCAATATATCTTCGTCCCTCGCACAGCAAGGTGCTGTCCGCCCCGCGTGCGCACCATCAAAGCGCAGCCTCGGAGGCGGCAGGCGGATCGACACGGCCTGGGCTTCGTCGGGGACCGGAGACGGGGATACAGTCGGGGCCTTGACCTAAGGAACGATAAATGAGGAACGAAGCCCCTTTCTATCCCAAGGAATAACGCATAAGGAACGATAAATAATAGATAACGCATAAGGAACTGTAAACAACGCATGCAAAATCTAAGGAACGACCGAGCCCCTTTTGAAAAATAACTGTTCCTCATTCAAGCCGCTCACTGTACGACACAACGAGGAGGCTGGAAGCACGCTCGGCTGGACTCACACGTGGAACATCCAGAGGCCGCGCGCTGGACGAGAGCGCCGCGCTCACGGACACGGAGCGGCCAGCGATGGAAGTGCATCTGGACACAGGTGTAACAGTATCTCTCGCCCAGGCCGCACGAACCATGCGCATCTGGCTTCCCAGGAGCAGCGGCAGGATTAGGAGGACCCCAACCATACACCAACACCGATCCTGGCCAGGATCACCCTGGGCCCAGGATCGGTATATACGCCCTCCTGCCTTGGGCAAGAAGGCATATACACCGATTCTGGGCCCAGGGTGATCCTGGCCAGGATCGGTGTTGGTGTATAGTTGGTGCCCTCCGAAGGATGACCGTCCGCCTCCTTCATTTCGATCAGCAACTTCTTAGCGCCTTTCAGGTCCCCCGCGTTGCAGTGGCCCTTCAGCAGGGTGTTGAACGTGATGATGTCGAGAGAGCTGTGCGACCTCCCACGGCCGCCCCGCAACATCCGGGCGAGAGGAGCCACCGACAGACAACGACGAGCCTCCCTCCTCCCTCCTCCCTCCTCCCTCCTCCTCCTCCTCCTCTTCCTCCTCTTCCTCTTCTTCCTCCTCCTCCTCCCTCCTCCTCCTCCTCCTCCTCCTCCTCCTCTTCCTCCTCCTCCTCCTCCCCCTCCTCCCTCTTCTTCCTCCTCCTCCTCCTCCTCCTCCTCCTCCTCCTCCTCCTCCTAGCCAGGCGATAGACTTAGGTCGGGCATGCCCCCCTACCGGCGGATTTTGGAAGAAACGTGTTATAGCAATCAAAACATGGGCATGTGAGAGGTATGCCTAAGGGTGAGATAAATCTGCGTAGTGTTTTTGCGTAGTGTTTTTGCGTGGTGTTTTTTCGCGTAGTGTATGTGCGTAGTATGTGATTGCGCAGTGTTTTCGCGTAGTGTGTGTGCGTAGCGCATCTGCGTAGTGTTTGTGCGTAGTGTTTTTGCGTCGCGTACTCGCGTCGTGTGTGTGCTGACTGCGCTTGCGTAGTGTATTTGCGTAGTGGATTTGCGTCGTGTATTTGCGTCGTTTATGTGCTGAGTGCGTTTGAGTAGTGTGTTGACGTAGTGTGTTGGCGTAGTGTATTTGCGTCGTGTTTTTGCGTAGTGGTTTCACGTAGTGATGTTGCGTAGTGTTTTGCGTAGTGTTTTTTTTTTGTGTCGTGTTTTTAGCGTAGTGTTTTCGCATAGTGTGTTCCCGTAGCGCATCTGCGTAGTGTTTTTGCGTAGTGGTTTTGCGTCCTGTATTCGCGTCGTGTGTGTGCTGAGTGCGCTTGCGTAGTGTATTGTGGTAGTGTAGTTGCGTAGTGCATTTACGTCGTGTAATTGCGTCTTGTATGTGCTGAGTACGTTTGCGTAGTGGATTGGCGTAGTGTGTTGGCGTAGTGTATTTGCGTAGTGTTTTTGCATAGTGCGTTTGCGTAGTGATGTTGCGTAGTGTGTTCCCGTAGCGCATCTGCGTAGTGTTTTTGCGTAGTGTTTTTGCGTCGTGTATTCGCGTCGTGTGTGTGCTGAGTGCGCTTGCGTAGTGTATTGTGGTAGTGTAGTTGCGTAGTGCATTTGCGTCGTGTAATTGCGTCTTGCATGTGCTGAGTACGCTTGCGTAGTGGATTGGCGTAGTGTGTTGGCGTAGTGTATTGGCGTAGTGTTTTTGCAGAGTGCTTGTGCGCAGTGATTTTGCGTAGTGTTTTTGCGTAGCGTGTTCGCGTAGTGTGCTTGCGTAATGTTTTTGCGTAGTGTTTTTCCGTAGTGGTGTCGCGTAGTGTGTTCGCGTAGTGTGGTTTGGCGTAGTGTGTCTGCGTAGTGCATTTGCGTAGCGCATCTGCGTAGTGTTTTTGCGTGGCGTATTCGCGTCGTGTATTTGCGTCGTGTGTGTGCTGAGTGCGTTTGCGTAATGTGTTGGCGTAGCGAATTTGCGTCGTGTATGTGCTGGGTGCGTTTGCGTAGTGTATTGGCGTAGTGTGTGTAGTGCGTTTGCGTGGTGATTTTGCGTAGTGGTGTTGCGTAGCGCTTCTTGCGTAGCGTATTTGCGTAGTGTTTTTGCGTAGTGGTGTCTGCGCAGTGTATTCGCGTAGTGTATTCGCGTAGCGCGTCTGCGTAGTGTTTTTGTGAAAATGTTGTTGCGTCGTGTACTCGCGTCGTGTATATGCTGAGTGCGCTTGCGTAGTGTTTCGGCGTAGTGTATCTGCGTAGTGTTTCGGCGTAGTGTATTTGCGTCGTGTATTTGCGTCGTGGATGTGCTGAGTGCGTTTGCGTAGTGTACTTGCGTAGTGTATTTGCGTAATGTATCTGCGCAGTGCTTTTGCGTAGTGATGTTGCGTGGTGTTTTTGCGTAGTGGTTTCGCGTGGATGTTTCTCGCGTAGTGTTTGTCGAGTGATGTTTTCGCGTAAGAGTTTTTGCGTAGTGTGTTGCGTAGTGTACTCGCGTGGGGTATCTGCGTAGTGCATTGGCGAAGTGTATTTGCGTACGGTGTATCTGCGTAGTGTTTTTGCGTAGTGCGCTTGCGTAGTGTATTTGCGAAACGTTTTCGCGTGATTTTTTTTTTGCGTAGCGTTCGTTGCGTAGTGTTAATCGCGTGGTGTTCTCTGTTAGTGTTGTTGCGTGGTGTTTTTTGTTTGAATAGTGTTGTTGCGTATTTTTTGCGTAGCGTTTCTGCGAAGCGTTTTTGCGGAGAGTGTTTGCGTAGTGCGTTTGCGTAGCGTATAGGCGTAGTGGATTTGCGTAGTGCGCTTGCGCGGTGTATCTGCGTAGCGTTTTCGCGTGAATGTTTTCTGGCGCAGTGTTCTGGCGTAGTGGATTGGCGTAGTGTATTGGCGTAGTGTATTGGCGTAGTGTATGTACTGAGTGCGCTTGCGTAGTGTATTGGCGTAGTGTATTGGCGTAATGTATTGGCGTCCTCCTCCTCCTCCTCCTCCTCCTCCTCCTCCCTCTCCTCCTACTCCTACTCCTATCCGCGGCTACCTGGCATCGGTCCTTGAATGTTCCTCCTCTTCCCCCTCCTCCTCCTCCATGTCAGTCCAAAGTTCGTCCTCCTCATCCTCCTTCTCCTCCTCCTCCTCCTCCCTGTACTCCAGTCCTAGCAAATATCGGTCCAAATTCCCCCCCCCTTCACGCCTCCGCAACTGCCCGCCTCCTGCGGCGAACGTGACGTGAGACGCGGGCGGCGCGCTGCGTTGGGATTCGGGCGCGTTGTTTCCGTGTAGTAGCGCGCCGACTCGGGGCGCTCCTGAAAACACTACGTAAAAGCACTACGCAGAATGAGTGCCCTCGTGGGCATCGTCTCGCGCCAGTTCCGCCCGAATCTGCAGCCCCCCACGGCATCGGGCGAAACTGTCCAGAGACGCGGGCGACGCGGCATGCTGCTGCGCAAGGGTTTGGGCGTGTTGGCGTGGTGGCGCGCCGACTCGGGGCGCTCCTGCACGCACTGCGTAAAAATACTACACAGAATGCCCCCGTCGCCCGCATCTCGCGCGAATTCCGCTCGAAACATCGGCTCCCCGTGGCCTTGGGCGAACGTGACGTGAGACGCGGGCAGCGCGGGTTTGGGCGTCGTTGTTTGCTACGTGGTTGCTTGCTGGCTCGGGGCGCTCCTGGAAACACGACGTAAAAACAATACGCAGAATGCCTTCGTCGCCCGCGTCTCGCGCCAGTTCCGCCCGAATCCGCAACTCCCCGCGGCCTCGGCCAAAGGTGGCGAGAGACGCGGGCGACGCGGCATGCTGCTGCGTGCGGTTTCGGGCGTGTTGTTCCCGCGTAGCAGCGTTGCCGTCTCGGGGCGCCCCTGAAAACACGACGTAAAAACACTACGCAGAATGCCCTCGTCGTCCGGACTTCGCAGGGCCGCGCCAGCCGCTGGAGCGCCCGTTCACGAGACCTCCCTGGTCACACACGTACTGTGCGGATGTGACGTATTCACGTACGTAATGCTTCTCGATAGTGTGTGTTTTGCGTAGTGTTTTTACGTATTGATTTGTTTTCTGCGTTGTGTTTTACGTAGTGTTTTTACGTAGTGTTTTGTTTATGCTGCGTAGTGTTTTTACGTAGTGTTTTTTTCCACCTTTAAAATTTCTACTTCACCATTAAAATTTTGGTTTCACCATTAACCACAACCGTCCATGTGCACGGACTGTCCAGAGCAGTGGAAAGATCGCCCCCAGACTATTATCTGACTATCTTTGACTACTCCTCCTGTAAAGGGACGCGCCCGACTGAACGTTAGACTGCACGACTGGCCGGGAGAAGCATCAAGTCGGGCGTGTCCCCTTACAGGGGGATGTTCGACAACAATTTGAAAATACCCCGGAAAGATATTCAAAAATAGTCCAAAAATAGTCTGGGGACTATTTCTTGAATATGTTTTTACCCTTTTGGTTCATTTTTGGAGCATTTTTTATGTTCCGTCGAAAATCGACCTGTAGGGGGACACGCCCGACATGAGAGGAGCACTGCACGGGCCGCCGAGGCGCTGGGCCAGCGCGTGCTGCACACGCTGGCCCGGCTCCTCGGCGGCCCGTCGTACACGATCACGTACATGAGCGATACACTGAGCACACATGGGCCATCCAGCCCCCATTGAGGACCCCCTGCTGCAGACCCCCTCTGGCGGCGCGCACAAGGGGGTGGGGGGAGGGGGGAGGGCCTCTTAGGAGGAGGCTGCTTCTTAGAAGGCGCCGGCCTTACATCTATAGATGAGGCCCGCGCCTCCTAAGAAGCAGGGGTGCTTCTAAGAAGCCTTCCCCCCTCCCCCCACCCCCCTCTGCGCGTGGCCGGCCCCCTCTTTCACCCTTCAAGTGCAGCAGCGGGCGAGGGAGCGCAGGGGGGCCGCTGCAGGCCCAGACGCGCGCGCCCCAGCGCTCGCAGAGAGCAGCTGCCCGCGGGTGGCCCGGACTCGGCGCGTCGAAGCACACAGGCCCCAGAGGAGGAGGAGGAGGAGGAGGAGGAGGAGGAGGAGGAGGAGGAGGAGGAGGAGGAGGGAGGAGGGAGGAGGGAGGAGGTGCATCGAGGCAAGCAGGCTCCATTGGACGTCTGCGAGTAGGCACTCTGCGGGCCGTGGGAGCGCCCTCGGTGGAGACCCCGTGGACTGGCCCGTTCGGGAAGGTCACGGCGCGCCACCCCGAGGCCCAACGGTGCGGAGAGGGGCGGCCGGCCGTGGCGAGACCACGGCGCAGCTGCCCAGACATGCCGTGTGTCGGCGGCGACTTCTGGGCCCAAGACGCGGTCAAGGAGGAGGAGGAGGAGGAGGCGGCGGAGGAGGAGGAGGAGGACGAGGAGGAGAAGGACGAGGAGGAGAAGGACGAGGAGGAGGAGGAGGAGGAGGAGGGGGAGGAGGAGGAGGAGGAGGAGGAGGAGGAGGAGGAGGAGGGAGGAGGAGGAGGAGGAGGAGCAGGAGGAGGAGGAGGAGGAGGAGGAGTATGAGCGTTGAACACACGGCACGAGGACGAGGCGCAAGGGAAGAACCCCGAGATCCTGGCGTGGCACTCTTCTCACGCTGGGCGTGCTCGCCCGGCTGCGCGCCCTGGGCTGCCCTCCCAGATCGACGCGGCCCGTAAGGTGCCGCAGGGAGATGGGGTCTGAGGCTCCAGCGGTGACTTTCTGGAGCCTGTCTTCTTGAAGAAGCCCAGGGACACACAAATAGATACACACAAATAACAGGATCCCCCCCACTTGCCATATTTTCCCATATTGTCCTGGGGGTCGACGATGAATTGTGTCTGCGTTTTTTCCCTCCTGATTTCTTAAGATTCCGGCGAGTTGACTTGCGTGGACGGGGGGGGGGCTGAACCAGCGGCAAGCCGCCAACGACTTGCACGTGCGGAAACCACGCAAGTCGAAAGACACTTGCACGCTAGCGTTCGTTTGAAGAGGGGCGAGGGGGTGAGAGGGGGGCGAACGCCATGCAAGTAAACTTGCCAGCATCTGATGTTTTATTTATTTGTTCGTCGTTTTCACAAAGCTCAATTATTTTGCAACGTCGGATCAAGGAAGAAGGCGGAAAGGCGCAACGCGCGCGGGGCCGTCAGGAGACGGCTCGGGATGCGAAGCCAGCGCTTGGGACGAGGTCGGGACCTCCGGGAGCCCCGTGCTGAAAAAAAACAAGGCATCGCATGTCTGTGACCAGTCGGCGGGACAAACCTCCCCTTAGTAAGCCTCCCCTTAGCGAAAACGGCCTGGGACCGAAACCGACGGACATGGACCCGCAAGAATGACGGCCGCGACGCCCTCTCGACCGGGGCCGAAGACGGCCACTTCCTCAATCCACGTGTCAGGGTAGGAGGTCGATCCACCTCCGAACCAGCAGGCGAGGCTCGACGCCTGCGGACGCTGCCGTTGGCTCTCAGTGGCCGTCCAGCCTCGGGGCGCTCTCCGGCAGCGGCGCCCAGGCCGAGAGGCGTCCTGGGAGAGCCCGGATGGTCGAGGAGGAGGAGGAGGAGGAGGAGGAGGAGGAGGAGGAGGAGGAGGAGGAGGAGGAGGAGGAGGAGGAGGAGGGGAGGGGAGGAGGAGGAGGAGGAGGAGGAGGAGGAGGAGGAGGGGGAGGAGGTCGGGGACGACCTCCGGAGGCCCGGGCCGTGAAGCTGCAGCCAGGCGACGAGGCGCTGGAGGAGGAACGCAGGGGCTCCCCTGGCCGCGGCGAGGCGTGGCCACGGGCGGGCGCGCTCCTCGGCCCCAGCCTCTAGGGAGCGGCCCGGGAACCAGAGAGCCCCCCTGAGCCCAAAGCGGCGCTCGCGACAAGTGCGAGGAGGTATCGCGGATCTGGGGCCAGCGAGTCGGCTCCCGTAGCTGAGTTTCCCGGCGCCTGACGGCGCCGGGAAGTGCCAAACGTATCAAGGAACGACGCCCCGCGATGGGGCCGACACTGGCTGCATGCAGCAGTTGTCGTACAGCAGAGGCCAGTCCACAAGAAACCTTCCACCAGAAACCCAACCACGTGACCCCAGGAGCCCATTGTTTTCCGTGTGGGAACGCCACGCCTCCCACAGCACAGCCATCGAAGCCCAGGAAGCCCAGGGATCCCTGGAGGCAGGCGGGGTGCTTCTTGGCGCGGGCCTCCACTCGACCCCCCTTCTGTCAGACCCGCCCCAGGTCACACCTCTGGGAGGCAGGGATCTATCCATGTCCACCGCCTGGGAACCGACGTCCCCTCCTTTCCCTCGTGGCCAGCCTGGGCCAGAGCTGGTCAACAAGTGGGGCGCTGGTGCCGGGCGGCCGCCGTAACGCTCTGGACAATCACGCGGTGGGGGGGCGGAGGAGGAGGAGGAGGAGGAGGAGGAGGAAGAGGAGGACAAGGAGGGGGAGGGGACGGAGGAGGAACAACAGGAGGAGGAAGAGGAGGAGGAGGAGAAGGAGGAGGATGAGGAGGAGGTACCCCGGCGAGCGGTGGGCACGGACATGTTTCGGCCCCCCGGGGGCCCGGATGTGTTCACACCCACCGCCCGCCGAGGCTCCGGAAGCTGTCCCTCCAGGCGGTGGTCATGTGTGAGTTCCCGCCTCGGACCATCGGCCTCGGGCGGTCTTCGGCGCTCTTCTGCCGGTCTGGGGAGGACGGGAGGAAGTTTCGGCCCCCCGGGGGCCCGGATGTGTTCACACCCACCGCCCGCCGAGGCTCCGGAAGCTGTCCCTCCAGGCGGTGGTCATGTGTGAGTTCCCGCCTCGGACCATCGGCCTCGGGCGGTCTTCGGCGCTCTTCTGCCGGTCTGGGGAGGACGGGAGGAAGTGAGGAGGGGAGGATGAAAGGAGATCAGGAGGGGAGGAGGGGAGGAAGCAGGAGGGCGAGAGGAGGTAGGGAGGAGGAGGGAGAGGGAGGAGGGAGGAGGGAGGAGGAGAGGAGGGAGGAGGGAGGATGGAGGAGGGAGGAGGGAGTATGGAGAGGGAGGGAGGAGGAGGGAGAGGGAGGAGGGAGGAGGGAGAGGGAGGAGGGAGGAGGGGGAAGGGAGGAGGGAGGAGGAGGAGGGATGAGGTAGGAGGAGGAGGGGAGGGAGGAGTGAGGAGAGGAGGAGGAGGATGAGGAGGAGGAGGAAGGAGGAGGAGGAGGAGGAGGAGGAGGAGGAGGAGGGAGGGAAGGGAGGGCGGGAGGGAGGGGAGGGAGGAGGGAGGGAGAGGGAGGGAGGAGGAGGACGGGGAGGGGAGGGAGGGAGGAGGGAAAGCGGAGAGTATCCGCGCGCCTTCCGCGGCAGGCATAAAGCCCACCATCGCGGTGAAATGCGCCCGACGAGAGCCCAGGCTTGACTTTCCAGAGCACGCACATCGGCCTCGGGAAGGGATCCAGCAGGACTGGGCTGTGCAGCAAACGCCCGATCCTGGGGGGCGGGGTGGGTTCCCCTCCCTCGATTCCGGCTGCGCCTGACAGGGGGCCTACGAGCGAACAGCCAGGGAGGGCCAAGCCTGGCGGGCCGCTGGCGAGTGCGGGCGGGCCTCCCCGGCCCACGGGCCTCCCTCCAGCCAGAGGACCGAGCTCTACCCCGGGGGCCCCCAGGGGCAGAGAGGCCACGCGCCGCCCCGGCCAGCAGGTGGCGCAGCAGCCTCCTCGCGCGCCCCGAGGCGCGCCGCCGGTGCCAGCATCCCATGTGCCGAGACGAGGCGAGGGCGCGAGACCAAACCCCCCCGCGTCCGAGGAGGCCCGCGGCTCGACGCCTTGGAGCGACCCAGGACAAGTGCTCCCGCGGACCTCTCCTGGGAGGAACTCGGAGCAGGATTTCGAGGGGAGCTCAGCGCGGAGATCCAAACAGGGCCAGAAGCGGCCAAACACCTTGCTCCTCGAACCTCGATCCTGGAACCCGCCCTGTCTCCTCGTGGTGGCACGCCCCTCCTCATCGGTTGAGTAGGGACCGACCGTCCCGGCATTCCCATAGGCCTACCACGACATGTTCTTAGAACCTAGAAACGCCCTAGGAACAACAACGAAATTATTAAACATAAATCCGATGTGTTAAAACAAGATGGTCCCGGTCAGAAATGGTTTAAGAACATGCCGTGCAAACCCCGAAACAGGTTCTTAGAACATCACTTGGTGGGTCTAGAGGCTAGCCAGGACGCCTCGCCACTGCCTGAATCACTGCAGCCCCGTCCCGCGCGCGGCCTCATCTCCTTGATCAGGTCGCGCGCGCGGTCCAGCTGGCCCGCCCCGGCACACACGTCGAGCGCGCAGTTGTAGGCGGCGTTGTCCAGCGTGATGCCTCCGCCAGCGGCGAGGGCCAGGATCGGTCCGCACCGCATGCCGGGCTATCGTCGGGCCCTTGACCTAAGGAACCCTAGATAAGGAACGAGGCCCCTTCTATCCACAAGTTTGAAGGGGCCCCAGGACACACAAATAAACACACACAAATAAAAATATTTCCCATATGTTCCCATATGTTCTGGGTTTTTGTCTTCCCCCCCACTTCCCATATGTTCCCATATTTTCTGGGGGATCGACGATTAATTGTGTCTGTGTGTTTTTTCCCTCCTGAAAGTTAAACTTCGATTCCCCATCGAAAACCTTGGGAAAACCTGAGGCCAGCTGCGAAACAATCAGGGAACACGGAGCCCCTCCCCAACGAAAAGGGTTCCTTCTTCAAGACCCCGACTGTATCGGATCGAATCGGAACGTGCGTCGGATCGGGTCGGCACGGAGTCGAAACCGAATCGGATCTGCTGCGCCAGGATGCACGACAGCGCCATACACACATCGGGCCCGCATCGGGTCGTCGCGATATGGATCGGGCCGGCCAGAATCGGCATCGAATCGGATCGGTCGGGTTCAAGTGAACCCTGCGAGGGGAACGACGCGCTCCGCGCGTCCCTTCACTCAGATCTGGGCGTCGCTCAAAAATCGCAACGGCCAGTTGCTCAACGAGGAACCTGGAAAACACACACACATGGCTTCACGTGAGGAACAGAGGCCACCTGCTTGACACGCAGACGGAGAATCACCAGGACTGGTCATCCGAGGGTCGAGAGCTGAAAGGACGCGTGGCCACACAGCTCGTTCCAGCTCTCGCCCCCGGGCGGGCACGCCCTGTGCCTCCAGCCTGCCCTTTTGCGCCTTCGGCCACTGGCGGCAGCCTCCCGGCCCCGCAGCACTCGAGCAGCGACCCGTCACGAGGGACCGGCCCCGGGGGAAGGGGGCGAGGCCTCCAGAGGGGCCCGCGCGGCGGAGGGCCCAGCCGTCTGCGGCGGCGCAGGCAGCGCGGGGCACGGGCCCCGCGCCGCCGGCGCTGCAGGCGTCCGCTGGCGGGGGGCGGAGCTCGGGGCCCAAACATATGCACCACCGCCACCTCCCTCCGAACAGGAGAGGAGAGGAGAGGAGAGGAGAGGAGAGGAGAGGAGAGGAGAGGAGAGGAGAGGAGAGGAGAGGAAGAGGAGAGGAGAGGATGAGGAGAGGTAGAGGAGAGGAGAGGAGAGGAGAGGACGAGGGAGAGGAGAGGGAGAGTGAGAGGTAGAGGAGAGGAAGGAGAGAGAGGAGAGGAGAGGAAGAGGAGAGGAGGAGAGGAGAGGGAGGAGGCGGAGGAGGAGGAGGAGGAGGAGGAGGAGGAGGAGGAGAGGAGGAGGAGGAGAGGAGAGGAGGGGGAAGAGAAGGGGGAGGAGGGGAGGGGAGGGGAGGGGAGAGGAGGGGAGAGGAGAGGAGAGGAGAGAGGTATACCTGCAAGGAGGAGAGAGGAATCGACGCGGTGGTGGTGTATATATTATGTGGGCCCCCCCGTGCGGGCATGGGGGGGCCCGCGGAGCGGGCGCGCCCGGGGCACGCTGCGCCCCCCTGCGGGGGACAGCCCGCGCGAGGGGCGCGCCGAGCGGAGCGGAGCCCCGCGCACGAGGAGGGCGGGCGGAGCTCCCCGCGGGGCCGCGGTGCGCGCGAGGGGCGCGCCCACCGAGGCCGCGGGCAGTGGGGGCCACTGAGCGCGTGAGCTGCGTGCCGAAATCGGCAGGCGGAGGGAAGCCAGAGGAGGAGGAGGAGGAGGAGGAGGAGGAGGAGGACGAGAAGGAGGATTAGGAGGAGGAGGAGGAGGAGGAGGAGGAGGAGGATTAGGAGGAGGAGGGAGGATAGGAGGTGGAGCGTGGACGGAAGAAGGAGGAGGAGGAGGAGGAGACGGAAAGGAGAGGTGAAGGGAGGAGAGAAGAGGAGAGGAGGGAAGGGGAGGTGAGGGGAGGGGGAGAGGAGAGGAGAGGAGGAGAAGCAGGAGAGGAGAGGAGAAGACGAAGAGGAGAGGAGAGGAGAGAGGGAGAGGAGAGGGGAGAGAGGGGGGATGAGGGGAGGGGAGGGGAAGTAGGGAGGGGAGAAGATAGGATAGGGCGAGAGAGATGGGAGGGAGAGGGGGGGGGTGGGGCGGAGAGGAGGGAGAGCAAGAGAGGAGAGAGAGAGAGAGGAGACAGGAGAGAGGAGAGAGGAGATGAGGAGAGAGAAAAAGAGGAGAGAGGAGAGAGGAGAGAGGAGAGAGGAGAGAGGAGAGAGGAGCGAGGAGAGAGGTAGAGAGGAAGAGAGGAGAGGAGAGGCGAGGAGAGCGAAGGAGAGAGGAGAGGAGAGGAGGAGAGGCGAGGAGAGGAGCAGGAGAGGAGAGGAGAGGAGAGGAGAGAGGAGGAGAGAGGAGAGAGAGTGAGAGAGAAAAGGAGAGGAGAGGGAGGAGAGCGAAGAGGAGAGGAGAGGAGAGGAGAGGAGAGGAGATGAGAGGAGAGGCAGAGGAGAGGTGAGGAGAGGAGGAGGAGAGGAGAGGAGAGGAGAGGAGAGGAGAGGAGGAGGAGAGGAGAGGAGAGGAGAGGAGTAGGAGAGGAGAGGAGAGGAGAGGCGAGGAGAGGAAGGAGAGGAGAGGAGAGCGAGAGGAGAGGAGAGGAGAGGAGAGGAGAGGAGAGGAGAGGAGAGGAGAGAGGCCGAGGAGAGGGGCGAGTTGCAGACGAGGGCAAGGGCGGAACGGAGAGGAGGAGGAGAGGAGAGGATAGGAGAGGAGAGGAGAGGAGAGGAGAGGAGAGGAGATGGAGAGGAGGAGAGGAGAGGAGCGGAGAGGAGAGGAGAGAGGAGAGGAGAGGAGAGGAGAGGAGAGAGGAGAGGAGAGGAGAGGAGAGGAGAGGAGAGGAGAGGAGACGCGCGTCGCTGCTGGCTGGGAGCAAATACGACATCGGGGTCGGGGGGGGGCCTGGGGCGGAGGTGGACACAGGCGGCACGGAGCGAAGTTCTCCCTACCGCCGCCTGTGTCCTTCTTCCACCTGCGCCTCTGTCGGCACACCCCTCAGGCGCCTCATGACCCTGTGGACCTCCACCTAGCCTGCCCCAGTGGGCGCCTTCGCAGCCCGGTGCCGCGCCCACTTCGGCACACCCCTCGCCCGGGTCGTGCCCCGAAGCCGAAGGAAGCCCCACCTACGGCTTCTGTGGGCGCGCGGGGGAGACTCGGACAAGCCCCTGGCCGCTCGGAACGGCCGGCGAGGCGGCAGCTGCGACGGCGCCCAGTGCTCGGGACGGGCGGGGGAGAGAGCAGGAAACGAGCACAGCGCAGGGCTGGCCGCGGAGGCGCCTGCCAGCTCTGTTCTCCCCGGCCGCCCGGGGGTGCCGGCCGTGGCCCCCTATCCAGGAGCGCCGGGGACCTCCGGGACACCCGCAGGACGCCTTCGACACCTCTACAGTCGGGGCGTTGACCTAAGGAACCCTACATAAGGAACGAGGCCCCTTCTTTCCATAAGTTAAACTTCGATTTCCGATCGAAAACATAAGGAAAACCTGAGGCAAGCTGCGAAACACTTAAGGAACGCGGAGCCCCTCCCCAACCAAAAGGGTTCCTTCTTCAGGGCCCCGACTGTACCCCAGACCCCTCCGACACCCTCCGGGCACTGCCCTGGGACCCGTCCAGGACGCCGCTGGAATCTTCTCGAAGTTCCCGTCTTCGACATTCGCTTCGCCTGAGGCCTGCACAAATCGAAGTGCACCCCAGGGAATCCCACCAGCACTGTTGGCGCAGGTGGTTTATGAGAGAATGTCTGAATCCAGTCTTATGTTTCCCATCGGGGGGAAAGGGTTTACGCCTGCCTCCAACCCCCTGGATCTGGACGGGGGGCGAGAGGAGTTGCTGCGTCCGAGATGGCCCAAGATAGCTCCAAGAGGGCTCCATTTGGCCCAAAATGGCCTCACAAATAATTCAATATAGACCAACATGGCTCAACATGACCTCCAACATGCCTCCAAGGAGATGATCTCCGAGAGCCCCCCCACCCCCCACCCCCCACCCCCCCAAAAAAACGTGCTTCAGTGTTCGCCAGTTTCTCTAGCTTTCGTTTCCGAAAACAGCCTGAGGCCTCAAAATGCCCTCAGGATTGTCCAAGTGAGCCTCAAAAGGGGCCAAGAAGAAGCCCAAGACGGCCCCAAGAGCGCCCAAAAGCCCCAACGAGCGTCCCTAGAGGGCCTCAAACGCCATCTTGAAGGCAACGGGAGGGAAGTGATAGTCGGTTCCGCCCTCTGTTTTCTTGGACGGCCTCCACGATGGCCCGCGAAGGAGGGCCCCCGAGAGGACACCAAGTGAGCCCCAAGAGGACTACCACGGGGACTCCGTATGAAGCCCTCCTTTTCCGATCGGTGGCCCCAAGGATGGCTCAAGGAGAGCCCCCACAGCCTCCAACAGGACCCCAATAGAGACACGGATTCATTTCAAAGTCTCCTAAAGTGGCCCCAAGAGAGATATCTCATAGCTCCAAGAGGCCTCCGAGAGGCTGCACCAAGTCTCTAAGCTAATCGCCTTCGCTGTTTCGCAACAGGCATACACATATACACATATACATATACATGCACATATATATATATATATATATATATATATATATATATATATACACATGTGTGTGTCCCTCATCCCGACAGCTCGCTCGGGCACCGTTTCTTGATGAACTGGCGGGGATACGTTCAGCGTCAAAAGCTCCGATCATATCACATCCCGAGGATGCAGATCCTCTCGCCAGCTTGACCAACTGACGACGTGCATGACCAACACCTTGAAAAACACCGAATGATTATGATGGCCAATGTATTATTATTGCGAACGCTACCAGAGTTTTCAAACGTACGCGGCAAACAATAGATTTAAGGCACAGGGGACACAACCACTCGGCGGCATCGTTTTCGACATGCCATCAAAGGCCAACGCGCGCCAGAACTGGCCTGGCACCGCCTGGAAACAGAGATGAGCTAGACTGACCAGCCCAGACGCAAGACTGCTCCAAATGGTCTCGTGGCAGGAAACTTCACTTGCACAAGGGCGACAGAC